CCTATCCATTTGTATCCTTTATAATAGGCTGGTAACAGTAAGGAAAGTGTTTTCGAAGTCTTTTGAGCCAGTCTAGCAAGTTATCAAACATGAAGGGGAAGGGATCATGAGATCCCCTGACTTTGTGGTCAGCCAGAAATTGGGGACCTGACACTTGTGACTGGCACCTGAGTGAGGGCAGTCTTGTGTTACTGAGCCCTTAAACCTATGCATTCTGATGCTAACTCTGGGCAGTGTCCGAACTGAATCAAACTGTAGGGCATCCAGCTGGTGTCCAAAGAGTTGGAGAATTTGTCAGTGTGAGAAAAAAAAACCCATATGTTTGATGTCCGAAGTGTTGTGGGTAAAAAGAGCTCAGCCATGAATATCAATTCACAGAAGAAATACAATCATTTCTAACTACATGAAGAAGTGTCCAACCTCACTAATAACTGCATATGAAACAAAATATTTTACATATTAGGTTGCCAAAAACATTTCTTTAATGACAATACAATGTTATGAGGGAGAGGAAAATAAATATTATTATATCCTATTGGTACGTGACACAGCTTTTTTCAAAAAGAAATGTGGCCATATTTATCAGGTTTAAAAAAAAAAGTTCCCGCTATTTGATCCTGAAATTACACTTCTAGGAATCTATTCCCCAAAATGCTATCACACATCAGGAAAGTTATATGTCTAAGATTATTCATTGGCAAAAGCAGCAAACAGAAAAACCACCTGTCCATGAATGGGAGAAGTGGCTGAGCACATTATGACACGTGCATTCAATGGGACATTCTGCCTCTCAAGAGCGAGGCGGATCTGTAAGTGCTGAAATGAAGACAGTCCATATTGTTTAGTCAGAGAAGCAGATTACAAAATCTCATGTCGGTACCATTCCATCTGTTTTTCTAAATCTACTTACACAGCTACATTAACAGGCATGGAAACACTGGGACCACAGAGGGCAAACTTACAGGGCCTGCCTCTGTGGAACAGGCTGGTGAGGAAGAAAGACGAGCTCACTCTTTTCATATACTTTTGTATTATTTGAATTTATTGAGAAAGTGTCACTTTCATACATTTTATAAAACAGAGACAGTGAGCCAAGCTAATTTTAGCTGCAGCCACAGAATATACAGTAAATGAGCATTTTGAACATACTGAGCTCCCCGGACCCAGGACCCTGCCTTACTCTTTTTGATACACTTGGGGAGCCATACAGAGCATTTAGCATGCAGTGGGTGTTCAATAAATGTCTTACTGGACTACACTGGACAAGAGAATGCGTTCTACCTGCTAAATCTTACTGTGTGCAGTAAAGTGTGTGTGTGTGTGTGTGTAGATGCGGAAGGGAGGAAAACATCAGATTTATAGCCACTCAGGCTGTTTTCAGATCCATGACTATGAATGATAATTGAAGTGTAAACTCCAACAGGCTTTACTTATTAGCGGATGGGGAGGGTTCCTCTCTTTGGCCTACAAGGCGCTTTCCTAAGAGAAACACCGCCGCACTCAGGAGTGCATGCTGGGTCCTTCTGTGCAGCGGTTGCTAACAAACAATTCCCCAGGTTGCTGCCATCCAGGCTGTGGGGCCACAGAAAGCTGGATTCCTGTCGGCCGTGCGGGCAGAGATCAGTGTTTGCTCAACAACACACGGTTGGCAAGGAAAAATATTTTTCCTTCTCAAGCTTACCCTGGAGTCTTTCCAAAAAAGGAGAGTACTGCACAGAACAATCAACAGAAAGAGAGATGGAAGTCTACTTTCAGACAAATGGGAAAAAAAGTCAAGGAAGCAAAGCACGTACTCAGCACCTTCATGCACTGGAGGCACACTGGGCACCGGGGACAAGATTCAAAACACACATCCTCCTGCCGGGGAGGGGCACTCGAGTCACCTGACCATTCTCCAGCACAGATACTTTTCATTCCCTCTTGCAGCTTTCCTCTTTCTGCTTGTTTCCTTCCTCTACAGGCACTGTCCCGTGACAGCAACTGCAGAATAAAGAGGCCGCCTGACCCCACTTCCGAGGGGAGCGCTGGGCTCACTGAATTACGGAGAGCAGGTGTCACCTCCACTCTGAGCCCGGCCTCCCACCACCACTTGGAAATCCTCCCCACAGACAGAAGGAAACGCAAACTTTTAATACTGTTATCTCTTTTATTCTCTTTTATCATTCAAGAATATTACAATAGGCATGAAAGGAAAAATAATTGCATTTTTAAAACTCGATCGGTCCGAAGTATATTATAATATATGCAACCAAGCCATTATCTCTCAGGGAAAAAAAGCATTCAAAATTAATTCGATATTAAGGTTCAAGATTAAGACCAACATCAAAGTATGGTATATGCAAGGTTCAAGTGAATGAAGTGTTTTCATTGCAACTATTTTGCAGAAATGCTGGAGTGATGTATATAAGATTTGAAATATAAGTCTTTTGAGGTTTCTAAACTATTGTTTAAATTAAAACTGAAATGTTGCATAGTTTCAGTGACTTTCAATTTCCCGTTTGATCTCAGAAATATATGGATGATCTTTGCCGTGAGCAACTTCCATGATTGCAATGGCCTAGGAAAGAGAAAGACACATAAAGGGTCAGAGCCTGGAAGCCAGTCCCCTCCTGCCTCCACGCTGAGCTACCCTGAATTCAAGCCTTTAAAGCACAGGACACAAACTGGCTTTTAGAGCTTATGTCCTCCTCCACCGTCTGGCTTTTTTAAAAAAAAGCAGACCAGATTATCTGGTAACCAACTAGTCATCCAGTCTCTACTGCTGAGAAAAATATTCTGCAAAAATACCCAGGTAGCTGGAGAAATGATATAGAGAGACTGATTTCATGACAATCTTTTGCCTCAATATTATAGATATTTCAGTAAAAATGCTTCAGGGACTGAATTACTTAGCTATGTTCAACCACAAAAACAAGTTAATGCTGGAAAAGAAAAGTCCAAAGTGAATGTTACATCAACCCTATTTTGATTTTAGTTTACATTACTAATCTGTGAGACCTGGCTAAACCACTTTTCCCTTTCAAAAAATGCATTCTTTCCTTTTAATACATAATACATAGTCCACAAAACTTAAAAATAAGTGTGGGTTTTGTCTGGGGATGTCAGAACACAGTCATGAAGGCTTCTGTATAGTGAGGCGATATAAAGGGGTGGCGCTGCCCATGGCCCCACCACTTCCTGGCTGTGCGACCTTGGGCTGGGCTATTTACTTACCTGCGCTGTGCCTCATTTTCCCCCAGCTGTAAAGGAGGAATAATACTTGCCTCTCAGGACTGCTAATACACATGAACTGTTTAGAATAGTGCCTGGCATATAGGAAGTATATGTCTACTGTAATCTGTAAGAATTTATTTTGCTCTTTTGTATTCAACTCACAGAGAAAAAAAACTTAAATTACTCCCCCAAACAGGGAATTTTTGATGGCTGGTGACCATGACAGGCATTCCTTTTTATTACGTATTCTCTTTCTAGGTCTCTAACCAACGCAGGTAGGCCAAGTAGTGGCGCAGGCCTTCAGAAAGAGCCTGTTTTAAATGCTTCCTCTGCACTCATTTCAAGACTTGTGTTCTTTGCTCAGATCTACTCCAGTCTTCATTGATCTATTATTTAATTACCTACCAGCACTACGCAATTGTGACCTAACTACCTAATTTTCCCTCAACCTAAGACAATAAATATGTAATCTTAGAAAGCAATTCTATAGTTTAAAACAGGAAACTTGATGTTTAACCTTACTTCCAGCCTGGCAGGGCCCTGCCTGACCCTTCTACTTGGAAGGTGGGGCCTTACCCATCTTCCTGAATAATCTATGGGAAGCTTTGGAGAATGCGGAGGATTAGGCCTCCAGGCCCAGACCGTGGCCCCAACATTTATAAAGCCTCTTACGGGAGTAAGTCAATAGACTGTCCCCGGATACACTGTTTTAATTGTTAACCGCCACATAGGAGCACTGAGACTCAGTGCTTGGGATGTTGACTGTGCTACTGGAAGGAGTGGGGTTAGGGCCAGCCCCCGCGCACTGGCAGCACAGGGCGGCTCCCAGCACAGGGGGCGAAGGCTGCCCAGGGCCTGAGTGGGAGGAGTGAGGCTTTCAGCTCAGGAAGACCCATCTGAATGAAGGCCCCACCGCCTACCCTACGCTGGTTACTCACTTAATCTGCTTGGACCTCACTTTCTTCTTTGGCAGGAAAACCTATTTCGTCTTTGGGAGAATTAAAAGAAAATGAGGGTCCTGGAAACTGCAAAAGCACGATCCTAACACCAAGCAACAACGCCTATCTCCCCACCCCAACCCCGCCCTATTTCACCACTGTAGTTCTGCAAATCTAAAGGGCAGGCGAACGGAGTATCCTCTGCATGGTCTCCCAGCCCCGCTATGGGTCTCTGTCCACCTCCATGGCTTGGCACAGAGAGGGCAGCACCCCTGCTCCCTGGGCATGGGCTGGAGTGTGCGACCTCCCTCCCAGGAGGGCCCTAGGCATTAAATAACCACAGCCTACCCACCGGTCGCAGAAACCTGGGCCTGCAATTTCCCCCTTGAAAACTGGGGTTACATTTTGAAAAAGCAAAAGAAGGGGATACTGTGAGTACTGATGAAAAGCAGAGGTTTTGAGACCACCATTCAGTGATTTGTAAGTGCCATTTAATTGGGAAGGGGCAAGTGGAAAAAGCAGCGAACTGGTGGCTTTTTAATACTAGCCTGAATAAACATCTGTGTGTACAGGCCCTGGTTGGGGCCTGGGAGGGATCCTGTCCCAGCATTCGCTACATAACCTCAACCTGCCTCAGGAGACTCCTCACGATGGTGGAGGGAGCAGGCCTGGCTCAGTGAACAGTGCCCTGCACCTGTACCTTCAGGTGTGGGTGCAGAGAAGAGGCAGCTGTCCAAGACATGTTCTAGGCAACACAGGACAGAAAGACAATGACAACACAGCTACTGCATGCATTTCTGAGCCACCAAATTCCACTCCGTGCTAGGATAATCAGAACAGCCACTGCAATCACCTGTAGGGCTTAATGATTTTCTGGCCATATCGCAGGGCTCCTTCCCAGTCCTGCATGTACAAGCAGACGCCCATGGCCTGGTACATCATGTGTAACATGTACACATTACTGTCCTCAAACACGGAGCTCATCTTCTCCTGGCTGAGCTCGCAGATCTCCAGCAGCTCACTAGGGGGTGCTGTGGCGTCAAGGAAAGGACCAGCAGGAATCACGCCACCCGGAGACTTCCCCAGGCAGGGCTCAAGGAGCTATTCTGTCCAGTCCACCCACACCCTCACCCCATGAAAAAGCCAACTACAGAAAGCTGCACAAAAGTGAAAGGAATTACATTTTCTCGAAGAAACAAACTAGGAAAACCTGGAGACTTCAACTGCTAAACAAAACTCAAAGATTTTAGCCACAGGGTACAGACCTTCAGTTCCGATGTAAACAATGTCGATCAGAATCATAAATTCAAATCCTCAACAAATGGCTGGAACCCTGAGCACTTCAGCTGGAGCATTTTTAAGAAACTGCCCAACCATGGCAAAGTCCTTTCTTATGTTGAGAAACAACGTGCCTTTCTCTAATTCATTGGTTTTAAATTCTACCCTCTGGAGTGCAAATCTAATCTCTTTTCAACTCCCAAGAAAATGCTACAATGTAGTTAAGAACATGGATTCTGATAGTCAGCAAAGCTGGGGTAAAATTCCAGAACTGCAGTGACCCACTGTGTCCCTTAGGCAAATTACTTGCTATCTAGGAGCCTGTTTCCTCATCTGCTCCATGGGAATGGCCACGGTCCCTACTGAGATGACCTTGTGAGGAGATGGAGGAAAGTAAAATACCCAGTACACGAGGTCCTTCAAGGGACCATTCTGAACAGTCTTTCACCATGCACAGCTCCTGAGCAAACCAGTCGAATAAGGAGAAATAAGGATGAGATCATTTAACGTTGACAGGGCTGACACCACATCACGGGTGGTCAATATGTCTTCTCACATTTACCAGGAGACTTTCTTCCTTCAAAATTCAGATTCTTAAACCCATCCTTCTCCTGCTTCCTCTTCCCAACTTCCCATCACCTCTTTTTGGCAAGGAATAGAAATAAGTCCAGACCATCGTAAAGGATATATTTGTAGTGCTTGGCCCTCCGGAACTCTTCAATGACATTGCGAGCATATCTGACCATGTCACGAATGGCTTCTGCCTTTGGGGGATCATTGAGCTTCCGGATTTCCACCTTGGCCTTATCCTAAGGGAAATGTCCATAAGTGCAAGGCATTATCTCCCATGCAAGCCATACTGGTGGGAAAACCTCTCGAACAATACACACTCCCATGCAGAGGTAGAGGCTTGACCATTCTAAGGTTCCAAAATAATCAAAGGAAATCAGGCAATGGGTCCAAAAGAAACGCATACTCCATTAATTACCCTTTTATAGGAAATGTCCATAAGTGCAAGGCATTATCTCCCATGCAAGCCATACTGGTGGGAAAACCTCTCAAACAATACACACTCCCATGCAGAGGTAGAGGCTTGACCATTCTAAGGTTCCAAAATAATCAAAGGAAATCAGGCAATGGGTCCAAAAGAAATGCATACTCCATTAATTACCCTTTTATACAAACAAAAGCTTACATATTAATTTTCTAGACAATCCTCTTTTAGGCAGGATACCTAGAATGTGTCTGCTATGGGCCGATACGCATGATCACACATCTACAAATCAAGAGACTAGGACAAGGACGGAGGGCACTGACAATTTGAGCAATGCCAGGGAAAATTCCATATATTCAGGTGAACAGTTTGGAAAGCCTGAAAATTATTCTCATGTGCTTTTTCCTCCCCTCTCTTTTGAGTAGTCATTTCTTTTCAAGAAATAGTAATTTGGCAGATTCTTCCCTTATTTGTATGGTGAGGTGGAAATGTTTTTATCAGCTCCCAGGAGACAAGTTTGGACAGACACCTGGTCTAACTGGATTCCTATTGGCTGTCTTTGTAAGGCAGGTTTAAAGGCTCAAAAATACCGCAGGCGGAAATTTGCCACGTGAGATAGGGGAGCTCATTGAACAGAGAGGTTCTGGGACCAGAGTGCAGTCAGCACCCTGACCAGATAGTGACCTTACCTTGTCTTTGGTGGTGCACTCCTGGCACTCGCAGGTAAAGAAATAAGAATCTCTTAACCGGTCATTCCTATCTTCTGTTGGGTACAGGAGGTCAATATAGCTGGTATAAACCTAAGGGGTCCAAAAAGGTGAAGCTTCAGTCTGCTACAGGGAAACTAAATCCTCATCACTGCTGTGTCTCTGCATACATCGGCGATGATGTCCTTGCAGGGCCAGAGGACAAGGAGGGCCACAGCTAGGAGTGTGCTCTTCACGTTAATACGCTGAGCTCCTTCCACTGAACAGCCACCTGACGCTGTCCACCTCCTTGTGGCGGAGAGAGAGCCTCTAGAATCAAGGAGTCCCTACAACAGTAAACTGGAGACTGAAAGGATCCCTGCCTCCTGCCTCCCCAAAGAGAACAAGCTGTGCGTCTGAACCAGCAGTAGCCGCCCTTGTCTGGTGTACAGAAGCAAGGCCCCCTGGGCAAAGAGTCAATTCATCCCTGAACGTGGGCCTGTGCTGCCTCTGCTTGGCCCTTACCTGGACTCTTTTACTGACCACCTGGGATGGCTCAGATACTTTCACTGCCATCGTTCCTGGGTGCGTGCAGGGGCGGGCACCCACATGCACTTGCTGCTAGGTTCCTCCTTTCTCTTTATGTCAGCTGGCAAAGCACGGGACTCAGCGCAGCAGGCCAGGCCTGACAGCTCTGAGTGGCACCAGGAGTCAGCACAGGGAACACCCGCATGCTGGCGCCCGCCCCCGCAGGCACTCCTGAACCTGCGGGCCTCACCTCGGGGCTCGCCGGCTTCTCCCATCCCTGCTTTTTTCTAGGGGTTCTATAACTAAGATGTAGGGCATATGGAGGAGGCCAGAATTTAGATGCCCATTATCTACTCACTGGGATGGCACTAGCTGCTTGTCCCACACAGTCAGGCGAATGTTGGAGTGAACAGATGGATTTCACAAAGCCACCAGCGTGCCAATGATCTGGGCCCCAACAGGCAGGCACAGGAAGAACATGCACGGGGCTGGCTACTGCAGGGGCAACCATGCTCTCCCCACCCCAAACAGCAGAAGTGAACATGCCATGCTCATTCTGATATCTGGGAGCATGGGGTGTCTTCCCCTCTCTGAAGGGAAAGTCACCCCCAAAACACTGACTCCCCAAAATGAGGTTACTGTGTTCCAGATAGGTGAGAGCATGAGGGCAAATGAAAACAGCCCCCAGTCCTGCCCTGCCTCACAGGGCGAGAGCCTGTCTGATTTCCTTTGAAATGACTGATGGACACAGTGCAACAGACGGAAGGTTCCAGAAGATGGCACCAGAGGCCACTCCACTGTGTCAGCTCACAGCCAGACTGAGCCTGTCAGGTGACACACCACTGTCTCTCCAGTCAGCCCACAGGAGCTCTGGGGCCTGATGATTACATTGGGCTGACTGCAACCGTCTGTTTCAGTAAAGCGGTATCAGGGTGGTCTCCACAAGACATTCGGAAAGCTAGACACCCCAGCCCAAAAGGGACACCCTTGTGACAGGTTCAGCAAAGGGTAGAAAGGCCAACCTGCACATTGGGCTTCAGGTCTCACCACAACTATGGACTAGTTAACACCTTCCAGGGAAATCAAAGTATTTATCGTATTAATCCACACATGCACCTTGAAGTAGCACCACAAGTTATATCACATTATATCCAGACATGCGCCTTGAAACAGCATTACAAATTATATCACATTATATCCAGACATGCACCTTGAAACAGCATTACAAATTAAGCTGAAATTTAACCTAATATTGCAAATAGTCTCTAAAAGTTCATGTGTCTTGCTATGGATTTACTTAAGAACGTAGAGCATAGGAGAGTACTTCAAGAAAGTTCAGAGAAAGATTCGTATGATCTTTTAATTCTATTTTTCCAGAGTCTTTCTGAAGTACCCTCCTTGTACACATAGCAATGCCCCAGGACCGTCTTTTCCAGGGACTCATGGAGTCGCAGCACGGGAAAGGAAAAGGGAGTTGCTTAACACGTGAAGGAACACCTGGTTCTCTTCACATCCCTAAGTTAAGGAGGGAAGCTAAAGGTGCGTCTTGGCCACAGACTGCCTCTACTTCCCCTGTGAGCACATACAACCGGCCATCTGAAACATACTCCTAAACTAAAAAGTGAACCACCACCTAAAGGTCAGATGTGCAATTGATATGATGCGAAATGCTGGTGTGTCACTTGGAGCGGCAGCTCTCAGCCCTGCTGGTTCCTCGTTCTCTTTTCAAAACAATGCTTTGGACCTCTTTGGAGGGGATGGGGGGACAGGCAAGAATTCTCTAGTTAAAAAAAAGGTCAAATTCAATTGTTTGGCAATAGGGACACACAGACTCTAAAGAGAATCAAAAATGTCACTTTGGTCATTTTGGCAGTCTCCCCTCCCTATAAGTCTTTGTGAGGAATTTAACTCAAATTTATTCTTTCCTGTTTCCTCTTTTTTTCCCCCAATTTTATTATATTTATTTTTGTGGGGTATGGAGTATTGTCTGAATACATGCATATGCTGCATGGTGATTCACTTACAGTGGACAGCATGGTTTTGTACCTGTCAGACCACCCTTCTCTTTCCTGTGTCTTCTTGACCAAAGACGGAAAAGGTGAGCACCAAATGGAAGCCCCAAAGGGTGGGACTTCAAGCCACAGGTCACAAACTTGGATCATTAACCCTTGGAGGGCCTGAAGACACATAGAGTTTAACTGCCGCAATCATTTACAGTGGATGTTATCACATGATACTGCACGCATTTGTCAACAATGCCTTTTAAAACAGCCCACATGCCACAGCCACCTGTGGCCACAAACTCACCTCCTCTCCTGGGCTGATTTCCTGTACAGCTCTTACTTCTGCCAGGGTCCCCTTGTAGGTCACAATGACATTGGGGCAACAGCTATGATTCATCAATGCAACACTGTCAACAGAAGAGAAAATCTGGTTTTCTTAATCAGGTAGACAGACTACTTAGTCTCCTTGGCTACTTACATGCTAACTTAGAGGAACTAGATCTTTGCAAGACATTAAAGAAAAAAATCTAACAGTTGACCATCATATTCTAAGAGGCTGTTCTGCATGTATTTATAATAATATCTAGCATCTTAAACTCCAACCATATTGAAAAGTGAAATCTGCAATTCCAAACAATGATATCTAAGCTAAAATCAAAAAACACACAACAATAAAAACAACCAATGCCACAATTATTCCTTCCTGTTAGATGCAGGACTCAAAACCCAATACCAAAGATAACTGCTACTTCACTGTATGCTGCAAAAGACAAATGGGTTGTGGTTTTCAAGCAGCTTTTTATACTAGTGGATTATTTCTAACACGTTTTCTTCAGATGTTGAGAAATGCCAGCTTCCTGAGTGAGGGAGGGCTTGTGATCCCCCGAGAGATGTGGAGAAGCCCGTTTGAGTCTCTCTGCACCTCAATTTCCTCATCTGGAAAATTGGGACATTACTGCTCCTGCTGCTCACGGTCTGCTTTTCAGGGACGGCTAGGAGAGAGAGAGATTCGCCTATGCGAGGTGCTTTGAGCTTTCTGATTATATCAAGGTCAAAGTTCTGAGAACAGAAATTTCTAAACTACAGGAAAAAGTGCTTGATCTCTGAAAATGCTGCCTTTGAAATCACAATGCTGATATGATTTCAGCCCAAAGGGATTTTTCCCCCAATTAAAACTGTCCGGAAACTAAGGCTCATGCTCCTATAGGCACTCACATCCATGTGTATCACTGCCCTTGTGGCCAGTGTCACCTGCCTGACCCTCCAGAGACTAAAACACCTCTCTTGTCTGCCCTGAGAATATAAAAAGGAAAGTGGTTCCAAAGCCTGCCGAGGGGGAGCTGCCCTCCTCCACCCTGGCGTTGCCAGAGGTCTGAGCAAAGTCTGAGGCTGGCCTGGTGCCCGGGACAAACACATAGCAACTTCCTGGCCTTGTCCTTGGGGAGGGACACCTCTGCCCTGCACCACAGCCCACCCGCCTTCCTGGCGAGTGATGCACAGGGCATCAGGCCCTAGGAAATCTGATAAACAAATGCACTCAAAGGTAGCTATAGTAAAGGAAAAGCAGATCTCTAGAACGGTCTTGCAGAAGAAGTATTAAATACTTCCTTTCAAGACAAGCTCTTGGGTATCTTTTTATTGAGGTGGGGGAAATGTACTAAGGCGAAGACCTTTCAGGTTCTTTTAGTGCAACTCATGTTCTCGGTGTCACGCTTCTCTTGGCAACCACGGAAAAAGGTGAATCTAAACAAAACGTCTCTTAATCTGTTAGTCTGTAGGACACCGAGAACAGAGACGTTTTGGACTTCTTTTCGGTCCTGAAGTTGCCAATGTGAGCCTTCCTCAGAAGATCTGATGCCCTTTCTCTTTTTCTCTTTCCTTTCCCAAGGGCAAAAGTCTAAAAGACACTCTCCCAAGAAACACTTCTTTCCTCCCTATCAGAATTAAAACTGCAGATGACACCATTTTGGTCTCACGGACAGTAGTATCATGTGAGAAAACTTTCTTTCTGACTGGCACGATGCACAGAGCCTGGCAGCAACCACCGCACACACCAGGGGCGAGCCCACAGCCTGTGCATGGGTGGTGAGGGTTTCCTGCATATGCTTCAGCCTAAAGCCAAAGGCTCCTGCAGTGTGGATAAAGCAACTTCCCTTCAGATGGAACTAATCTACGATGTGGATTAATTCAGGGATGTGGGAAGGGTTCCGTGGTCCCATCTGTGAAGCAAGGACTTAACTTCAGGGGACTGAAGTGTTTTTGGAAATGCCCATTCCATCAGACAGACGACAGCCAAAGCATTCTTGGCAATCCATTCAACTTAAAGCTATTAAGTTCTCTGTTTGTCAACTGCCTAGTCTTTTTTGGATTGCACAAGAATTCCTGAAGTAGAAAGAGAAATCCTGTAGTTCTTTGACATCTTCCTCTAGTTCACTACTTTAGCATGTTCTCCCCCGAAACTGTGCTGTTTCTCCACTGGTGTTTTTCGAAAAGGACAGATGGAGAAGCACGTCATGTATTCTCTACACAAGCCTATAGCCAATTCCTGGTTGGCAATTACTGTTTCATTTTGAGCATAAGAAACCTAAAGATTTCCAAAACCACAGATATGCAGAAAGAAGATTTCTCAGCAGGACATGGGCCGTTCCTTCTGTGTGCACTAAAATATTCTTGAATAGCAGCTCTCTGCCTAGCAGGACTTACAAGCAACTGTCCTCTTAACGACTACCTTTATATCTTTAAGTATAGGGGAAATATTTTGAAATCTGGCAGATTAAAAAGCTGTCTTAATTCACTTGGCGTTTCATGTCTGCTACATGCAGTTAGGTGGGCTATTTAAAAAAAAATCAAATCAGTGTTAAATAAGTAAAAAGAAAAGAAATGAAGTCAAACTCAGCCTACTCAGGAAATATCGCTGAACCCAAATGAGAGAGTTCTTCATCTTCAATTGTGAAGCCATTACAGTTAACCTGCAGTAAGAAAGGGAGAGAAAGGGAGAGAAAAAAATGAGCTAAAGCTACTCTCTAGGTAGAAATCAACAAATTAACTGGAAGATGTTATGGTTTAGCAGTTTTGAAACCTTCCTTCCAGCCATGGTATCCTTTGTTCAAGTGAAATGTACCTCCCAGTCCCATCTGTACACAAGTCCCAGCAGAACTGCTAGAGCTGAAGCAGTCTTCAGTGCAGTCTCCCTACCCACCTACATACAGTGGCCCGAGAATGCCACAGACCCCCATGAACGCCACAGACCCCTAGAGCTCCATGGACCAAAGTCTGCATATTCACACGGGTGTGAAGACACCTGGAGCCTAATCCCAATTATGCCACAGCCCTGTTTTGTAATCTTGAGCCCATCACTGAGTCCCTCCATCCTTAAAAAGGAATCACATAATCCAATGCCTGTCTCATAAGAGGTGGTGGTAAATATGAAAGCACTTATTCATCTAATCAAATTGCTGGCCCTCCCTTTGAGAAACAGAGGGACACCAAGAGCCTGAAGCTAAGGAACTGTGACCTTGCCTCTCGTGTCTCTGCCAATTCAACCACTGGCCTCTTTCTCATCCATTAAAAGAAATAAGGCATCAAAAAACACCAAGGGCGACTCTCGCTGTTCTGGAAGGCTGACCTGGAGCCAGGAGGCTGACATGAGGGCTGTGCATGCCTAATTTCTGTACTGTTCTAGAAATTCATTCTTTCCACAGACATGTACTGAGAGCCCTTATGTGCTGGTCACTGTGCTTAGAAAGACAATCAGGTCAAAGTCTGTGTCTTCAAGAAACACCCAGTCTGTTGGGGAACAAAACAGTGGGCACTCTTCATAGCTGTCTAAAATTTCAGAGCTGGGAGGGGACTCAGTCTGTTCGCTTTTTAGATGACGACAGTGAGGTGAGAGAGCAGCAGTGACGTGTCCACAGTCATGAAGCTGGCTGGTGGCGAAGGCCAAGACCCCTGTCCGTCCCTCGCTGCTGTGAAGGCTCTGTCCGTGAGGAGTACACGTGGAATGATTTCACCCCCTCTCTCCCACACCTGGAGACACCGCACTGCCACACTTCAGACCAACAGATGGGCTTTGTAAAACCAGCATCCACTGAGCACTTGTGCCAGGCACTGTGCCAGGTGCTGCGTACTTACCATCTTGTAAATCCGCAATATCACTCTAGCATTACTATAACAGCCCACTTTACAAATGTGGAAACTGAGGCCCAGAGAGGGTCAACGATTAAGTGACTTGCTCAAGGACATATAAGTAGTAAGTGGCAGAACAGGGGGTCAGAATTCAGACTAGACACTCTGACAGCAAAGCCTGGTTTCTTCACACTATGTCATATTTCTTCTACATTGGTTGGATCTCCTAAATGTAAAAGTGGCAATTTTATTTAAAATTAAAGGGTTAACAGCAAAGGCTTGGAAATCTTCGTACACATAGAAGTAAGGCCTATGATGGGTTTGACGTGTGGTATTTACAATTCAACATATAAAGGGGAAAATGGGGGACACTGTGAGTTAGTAAAACAACACACAACCTCTGAAATACTGAGGGGTTGGGCATTTCTAAGCACAAGACTTAGTATAATGTTTTTTTGTGCCAAGTCCAAGTACTCTGACCAATTCTTTCTTTAGGACGTTAACCAATAACCATTAGCCATTGACCATCACCAACATTAGGTAGGCGTAAATTAAGGTTTTCATCTATTCAACAAAATTTATTGGGACGTAAACTATGTGTCCTACACTTTACTAGGTACTGAATGACATATATATACCAACATGCCTCAGCAACATACCAACAAACTCATAAAGGACAACAAATGTTTACAGAATGAAAACATGAATGACAACATTAAGCAATAATTTACAAAACCGATCAAGGGACAGACAACTCCTGACTACTTCGGGAGATGGAATTCTTGCCCCTTTGCTTTTCAGTCCTCTCCTCTGCAGTGAGCACAACCAGACCAGTCTAGGACTCCAGATCCCTTCAGGCTCGAATGTTCTGTGATCATCAGCCCCTTCATTCCCTTGCCTTCCTCCTCTTACGGTGGAAGAGTGCATGTGTTTCTTCATAAGCGAAGGCTCATACAAGCATAAGTGTCATTAGGGTTCCTTTTGGGGACGTGTTGATGGTGTTTAAGCCAAATTGTGAAGCAGTTTTCCTGCCAGATTTCCCTCCCTTCTGAAATATCCCTAGAGAAGAAAAGTGAACTTGCATGTTAAGAAAAATGCACGGGCCATGGTCCTTTTTTCTCAAGTCAAATCAGGCGTAAGTGCCTTGCTAAAGCTATTTTCATAATTAGCATTTAGACTAGATGTAGGCTGCGCACCAAAAATACACTTCCCAACCATGCATATGTTCCAGTGATTAAAACACACCTCGATGTGCTGAGGGAGTGCAGTCACCTTCTGCTGCCAGCTGCCAATGGGCCACATATTAACCCCCAAAAGCCTTCCAGGGACTGGACAGCGGAAAGGGCTCTGAGGCTGGGATGGCAGCAGCTGGGGCTGGGAGGCAGGACCAGGGGGTGGCATGGGGCTGTACAAATCTTTCCATAAACTTTTTGAAGAACCCTTGTATATTTTTTTTAAGGGACACACAAATGTCCTGGATTTTCTAAATCAATACAGATTTCAAAGACTCAGTTATATATTCACCACAAATATCCTTCTACTTGTGAGATCAAGTGCTTTCATTTTTGGTTATAAAAATATAGTCCCATATCTACATATTAACATTGAGAAATCCTATTAGCATGTTTTACTGTGTTACAGGAAAAGTCATCTTTTTTCATAGCTAGAAGTGAAGAGAAAATATTTTATACTTATTTCATCTCTTGCTTTCTTACATATAGCCACGCCTCATCTAATCCACACCAAAAAATCATGTATCCAGTTTTATCAAAAAATTTAAGACTAATCAATTCTTCAACTTTCCACTCTCACCCAAATCCACCTCCTTAGGACACTTAGGAAAATACAGTGTCTAAAAAGAATGAAATTCTGCCATTCGTAGCAATATGGATGAGTTTGGTGAAAATTACTTTACGTGAAATAAACCAGGCACAGAAAGAGAAATACCACATATTCTCACTCATAAGTGGGAGCTAAGAAACAAAGAAAGAAAGAAAGACCATAATAAAACACTGAACTTTCAGGAGGAGAGAACAGACCTATGGTTACTAGAGGTGGGAGAGGGGAAGAGGGAGGGGGCTAGGTGTAATGGGGTCAGGGACATAAAAAGTTATTTTGATTTGTAATGATGAACATGCTAATAATATTCATTTGATCACATACTGTGCACAAATACTGATAGTCAACTCTGTACCCCATAAATATGTATAAATAAAAATAATTTAAAAAAAATATGGTATCTATCTTGGATAATATGAAAATCAGGAAGGTTTTTCATTATTTCCACCTTAACATTCATAACTTAAACACATTGTTTTCTTTTTCAAAGAATAGCTTTTATTTTCTGACTATGACAGTCCCATACTTGAAATATATCTAGAGAAACACAAAGTCTAAACAGGAATTCATCAAACTGTTAACAGTAGTTCCCTTGGGGGGTCGAAGTGGGCAGAAATGACAAAATACTTCTTTCTTTATATTTGTTATTTTTGAAGTGTGTGTTTTTTACCTTTTTCTCCTTCTTAGTATTTTCTTAAGTTATATATGGTCATTGAAGAAAATCCAGAAAATTGTTCAGCAGAAAAAGCAAAATTTTTCCACTCAGAAAACAACTAACTGTGAATTTCCATTTCCTCTTTCTTTCCATGTACATGTATTTTCACGTTACACACACTTTTCATCCTGATTTTATATTTAATGTTATGCAATCGACATTTTCTCACGGGTTTAGAGAGTCTTTGAAACATGACCTATAAAGGTTATCAACCTTCAGTCACATGACTTTGCCACAACTTACTTAACCAAACGCCTACTGCTGGCCACTTACAATATTGCCTTTTCCTCCTTCCCGTTTTTCTGCTTTCCTTTTCCCTTCCCTTCCCCATTTCCTTTGGCTATTAAAAGAATCCTACAATAAATAACTTGCATGTAAATAAATCTCTGTCCATAATCTCTGATCACTTCCTTCAGACAGACCCCTGGAAATGCAATCACTGGGAAAAAGGTACACAGGTGGTGCCTATTCGCTTCTGAGACAGAAATGTGCGAGTGTCCACCTAAGCTCTCCGTGCATCTGGAGACCGAAGGTTCTGGCAGGTGGACGTAGTTTCCTGTACCCATGCAGCAGAACTCCAGTTTCTCTCTCTAGGAAGGTCACCTTCAACTAGATGCCCAGCTTACAGAGGACAATGCAGGGCACAGGAGGGAGAGGAACCCAGCCGAGCAGGTGGCCAGCAAGAGCCACGACGGCAGGAACAGAAAGACGAGCTCCGCCCCAGCAGGACACCGCGCACCCTCCTCTCCTGTCCTAGTACAGCCCAAGACATTCGTGCAGTGGCCTAACTTCCAATTCTTAAACCACTTTTAAGTTGCTCTTGTTCAGAGTCCTCTCTAATTTCTTATTCTACCTGATTTTGGAAAACCTAGGCTTCTCCAAACAAGATTTCTTAGCAAAAAAAAAAAACATACTGTACAAATAAATGTTAAAATATTTTTAAAAAAAGAAAAGAAAAAGATTTCTTGGGAACCGTCAGGAAAGACTTTCTGGACCTAGACCCCTGGGCCATCAGATGCCCTCAGGGGCATCTGTGCATGTCTCTGCTTTATCAACACGGCCTTAGTAGGAGTGAAAAAACACTAAAGACAAACTAGTCATCCTGATTTGATCAGCACACACTGCACACAGGTACCGATACTGGACTCTTTACCCCACAAACATGGTTAATCAGTTACATAAGAGCTTAGAGGTTAAAGCTTGCCACAGTACGGGGACCCTGCAGCTCCTCTGTTTTCGTGAACTCTTCTGGAGGCAAAGGGGAATTTCCTACACTCTCCCAACAACGAGGGCCAGCACAGAGGGGACCAGGATGTGCTCGAGGACCAGCAGGGCTAGGACAGCACAGTCTCCACCAGGTGCAGAGCCTCGTTGTCAGTGATGCCATCATCCTACTTCCATTCGTCTTCACTGAGTGTGTGCTGGGAAAGGGGCCCAGAGAGGGAAGGGCAGGACACACGTGCCCGACGTAGCATCCTTACCTGTGCAAATAGCACCACGAGGCTATCGTGGTTGGGGAATTCAAGGTGCTTGGAGTAAAACTGATAGAGAGCAGCAATGTCACTCTGAATCAAATCCTTCTTCTCATTGTCTAACTTATCCAGATCTGCGGATAGACAACCCATTACACTCGGCAGAAAACTCTGCATTTCTAGCTACATCCTTTTTTACTGTAAATGGCAGTAAGGGGAAAAAACACCAAAAAACTAGCATGTGGAGCCCTCAGGGAAAATTATTCCCCATCACTTGGTCTAAACGACAAACCCTAGGTGAAGAAAAGCATGCCATTTCTTTCTTCTCTTCCTCTGACGATTGAAAGTCACTCAGGACATGAAATCTCAACTGACGTTTGGCAATGAGGCCAGGGATGAGTGGCAATGACTGATAACCAGCTTCGGTCCAGTCAAGAGCCCCCCGGTTGGGCCTGGAATCTGTGTCACGGCCAAGTAACTGGGTAGCCCCTGATTTAATGCCTTTCGGTAGGAACATCAGCTGTTTGCAGGACTGCAACTCAGCAAAGATCCAAAAATATTCAGCATGCCAGAAGAGCCAGCAGGAGATAGCTCAGAATGCACTAACTTATCCTGAGAGTTCCTACCTCCCTCAATTGTCTCCTAATAATCCTGTCAACTCAGGAAAAAAAGAAGTTAAAAGCATTTTTCAAGCACCACACAAGTCAAAATAAAAACTAATAGTTAAAAAGTCACCACCCAGACTAAGAGCACAAGCTCTCCCTTGCTTTCTTCAGTCCTACCTAATCCACATTAAATTTGTGGCTAAAAAAACTGCCCGGCCGGCCACAGAAAGACTTACGTGATTCAAACTCCTTCACGGCTAACAATTTCTCTGAAGGTGTTCTCTCTGGGTGGATTTTCTAGTAATTGGGGAAGAAATCATACAGATACAGATTATAACAACCAGTGTAAAAAGCAGCGCTTTCACTTTTACATGAACATTGAAAAGAAGCAACCCTCAAGGAAAGCTATCCAAGAAGTCCACCACTGCCCAACATCCAAACCCAAAAGACTCTTTTACAAAGCTTTTCAAAGTGTCTATAGCATTCCTAACACCCTGATGGTACTATGCACACAGTAGGCTCAAAAATGCTTGTTATGGGAAAAAACAGGGCCAGAAAACAACTTTTTTAGGGCATTTACTTAAAAGGACTGGGTCTACAGACAAATGATCCTATTTATTATTTCTCTTTCTAAAAAGGAACAAAATCAAACCCCCATCCATTTTACACTTTCTTTAAGCATAGGCTAAAATGATCTCAAATTCTGTGTTTCAAAAAGAACACTTTTGGTTGGATCTGTGAGCCCAGATTCACTTTAAACGTGTTGCTGGCTTTGTTCTAGACACCCCAAGAGGAGTTAACAATACTGAACCCGCTAGGCTTTGAGAACATGAATAAACTTGGTGTTGACAAGAGTTCAAAGGCAGAGCTCAGGAGCTGGCCCGAGGCCGCGTCTTTGTAATGTGGCTATTCAATTTGGGGATACAGGTGGTCGAGCTGGGCGCTCTCACCTCCCTAGTTAACATGTTAAGCTTCTCCTCGGTGGTTTGGTAGCCTGTCTCCCCTAATCCTTTGCAAGCTACTAGAATACAAATAGACTGTTTTTTTAATCATCAAATCCTACAGAGATGAAAAGATGGGCAGGTAACTTTTCATTTAATACACTATTAGGAGTAGTAGTAATTATTATAAAAGTTGAATGAAACTGGTATAAACTCATCATAGCATTCAGAGTACCCTCCTGGTACCAAATATTTCAACAGCTCTTTTTTAGGACAAAAATCTTCCATTCACAGGATGCATTTCTATAAGATAAATAAGTCATCTTGCCTGAGAAAGTTTTTCATTCAGGAAAGTGTACCAGCTGCTTCTGAATTCTTTTTTTTTTTTTTTTTTTTTTT